AGTATTCTCTTCTTCCACATCCCTACCAGGATGTCCCTTTAAGCTCTTCAGCACTTTAGGTCTTCTCTAGCCCACAGGTCCAAATCCTCCTAAATTTCCCCTGCAAATGACCTCCAAATGCCTAAAACTGTATGGTTAGGTAGTCACAGTAATGGCCTCCACTTCTGGGTGCCAGCTTTATTAATTGCTTTCCTTTGCTGTTAATGAAATGCCTGTTGGAAAGCAACTCAAGGAGGGAAAGTTTATTTTGGCAATGCATTCTATCATGTTGGACAAGACATGGCTGGTAAAGGGACTATGAGATAGCTGGGCATGCTGTATCAGAAAGAAGTGAAGAATAATACTCTGGAATACCATAGGGAGAAAAAGATTTCAAGGGAAGCCTTGTGTGTGTGTGTGTGTGTGTGTGTGTGTGTGTGTGTGTGTGATTTTTTTGAGACAGGGTCTCCCTGTAGCCCCAGCTGTCCTGGAACGGGACCTCATCCTGTGGGATAGTGCCACCCACATTCAGGTGGTGACTCTGTTCTCCTAAGTTAAACCTGTCTGGAAACTCCCTCAAAGGATAAATCCAGAGGTGTGTCTCCTAGCTGATTCCAAATCCACTTCCAGTTGACAATCAAGTACTACACTTGTGATTGCATTTAGGTCCCACCGAATGCTCCAGGTTCACTTCCCCATCTAAAGAGCCTCAACTTTGGCTGGGCTTGGTGGCACAGACCTTTAATCCTAGCCCTCAGGAGAGAGAGGCAAGCAGATCTCTGTGAATGGGAGGTCAGCCTGGTCTACACAGTAAGTTCTAGGCCAGCCAGAAGTACATAGTGTGACCCCATTTCAAAACCAACCAACAAAAGAATCCTCAACTGGGGCTGGAGAGATGGCCCAGCAGTTAAGAACACAGGTTGTTCTTGCAGAAGACCTGGGTTCAAATCCCAGCACCCACATGACAGCTAACAACTGTCTGTAACTCCAGTTCCAGGGGATCCAACAGCCTCTTCTGTCCTCCGTGGGCATTGCACGACATGGGTGCACTTAACCTACATGCAGGCATGACACTCATACACATAAAATAAGAAAATAATAAATAAAATATTTTTAAAGAAAAAAAGAGCACTGGCTGCTCTTGCAGAGGACCCAGGTTCAATTCCCATCACCCACATGGCGGCTAACAGCCATTCGTAACTCCATTTCCAGGGGAATTTGACGCCCTCTTGCTGCCTTTGTACAACATGGGTACACTTATATACATGCAGGCAATACATATACACATAAAATAAAAAATATTTTATATAAAAAGAAAAGATCCTCAACTTAATCACTTCTGCAGACATTCCCACTCCTTTTTTATAACATGTATAGTTTCTGGGGATTAGGTCTGATAATTTCTTTTTTTGTTTTTTTGAGATGGTCTCCCTGTAACCCCAGCTGGCCTGGAACTCACTATGTAGACCAGGCTGGCCTTGAACTCACAGAGATCCACCTGCCTCTGCCTCCCCAATCTGGGATTAAAGGTGTGTGCTACCACACCTGGCCTTTAGGTTTGATATTTTCAGGTGCCCATTCAGCCTGTTCCAGATCAGAGAGGGAATGGGAACTCATTAAGTGGTCTCTTACTGGCCAAAGTTATGCCCACTATTCCCGTTACTGGGAAGCTTGTGTTCCCATTTCACAGATCGGAATACAATAGCTCAAAGTTTATCACATGACTTCTATTTGATAAAGTTGCATTATACTCAAGTCAGTTGGGTTTCACAGCCTGCTCCAACTTCTTTTAGGCTTTTAAACCAGTAGATCACAGAGTCCTATCTCAGCTCCTGGGATACAGTACCATGATGTCAGAGAGCTTTGCCCAGTCCTTTTGCAAAGGCTCAGAGATAGGGAGGAACAGCAGTGAACTTGTAAAATTCAGGGCTGAGACTTGTTCTTAGGCCAGGACATTGATATAGCTTAACTTGTTAACCTGATGGACCTGTTAATCCTCCAGCACTCTTTTTTTAAAAGAAATATTTATTTTTATTTTATGTGTATGAGTGTATTTCCTGCTTACGTGTTAGTGCACCCATATCGTGCAGTGCCCACGGAGTTCAGAAGAAGGCGTTGGATCCCCTGAAACTGGAGTTAGAGATGGTTGTTAGCCACCATGTCGGTGCTGAGAATTAAACCTGGGTCCTCTACAAGAGCAGCCAGTGCTCTTAACTGCTGAGCCATCTCTAGCCCACCCTCTTATCCATTCGTACCTCCTGAATGTTTTCTTCCCAAAGGGAGGGAGACAGAGAGAGACGGGCTAGAGCTCTATACCATTCCAGAGTGGGGCACCAAGGCCAATGGTTGCCTAGTAGTCTAACCTGTAGTTACCAGCCTAGTTGCCAGTTCACTGCCCTAGGCCCCACACTACATACTACTTTACTTGTGTAAGGAAGGGGTCTGTGTCATCAGACCTCCTGTATTTTTAGGAACAGGCCAGAATTTTTTCAGGACTTGCTGCCAGGTAAGTGTTTGCCATGGCTTATGAGGTATCTTGTGCTGCCTCTGTACTAAGTTTTGCTATTGGTACCCAGACCGCACCTCCTTTCTGTCACTGTAAAATGAGGATAATGCTTCCTGCCACTTGGGCTGTGATAAAGATAATTAAATTAAGTCACCTTTGTATCTGGCACCTGGTATCTTGTAGACACTTAGCTAATATGAATTCATCTTTCTTTCTGGCCTTTCCTTGCTTACCTGCCTAGTCCTGCTTGGGCCTTTGCTCTACTGTACTCATAGACAGACTCAGCATCCCTGGTGCTTAGTGGCAGAAATGACTTAATTTCCCATCTAATTATCAAGTATTTCTAGAGGTCTTGGTGTCTTAATTCTTTGCTCAGATGCCATCCTTAATGGCAGGGTGAGGTCCCTTCCTCTGTTTCACAACAGCCAACAAACATTCACCTCTTTTACAACCCCAGCTGGCCTTGAACTCACAGAGATCTGCCTGCCTTTGCCTCCCAAGTGTTGGGATTAAAGGTGTGCACCACCATGCCCACCCTCTGACTGAGATTTTTGTGGGTGAATAAATAGGAAACCACTTTTCTCTGCTCATCCTTTTCTTTATCTTCCATACTGAGGAGGATGCTGTTCTCCTGTGTTTAACTCACTTTTCTGTCAGGTTTGGAGCTATAATTACAGTTGCAGTTTCCTTTGTGGTTCTGGGAGATGGCCGACCTGGTGGGCAAGGATGGATTTGGTCTACAGCTTCTAGGTCAGGAGGCACATTTGAGCTGCTGTTAGGTTGTGCACAAACAGGAGTCTGTGATGCCCATGGAAGCACATTAAAGGCTTCCATAGGTGCCATTGTCATCTCTGCAAATGCAACCACGCCTTCCTGATTTAGTGGGTACTAGGGTGGGGCTGATTAGGTATTCCTTGTCCCTCTTTGCCTTTTGTTTAGTCACTAGGGCTCTCTGAGGGCATCTCCACTGTATATCATCTCTGTCTCCCCTTTTATGTTTGGTGACCATCTCACCAGTATATGGTATGTAATTTACAAAGCCTCTTCAGGTCCTGAACGAAACTCCTTGACAGCTTTGTCAAGTAGATCAAATGCTCCCCCTTCAAAACTGGTATGGCAAGTTTGTGTAGCTTACCAGAAATCAGGAAGCAATGGGGTGATACAACTGGCTGGGGTTGAGACGTGGAGCTTTAGATCTCTAAACATGCTTCTCTTTGCCAGAGATCTCCTGATTTTTCTAAGGGATAGATTCTATCCATTGCCTATACTGGGGTACAAAAATGGCCTATTGTGGTCATCATTAGCCAGGAATAGTGTAGGTTGGTCAAGCTGACTGCTTCTGGTGGCCAGCAGAGGGCATGATGGGCCTGAGAAAGGTCTGCGTCTGCTTTGTTTCGAAATGGAAAATGTCTTGGACTGTCAAGGTCATTATTTTTTTTTAAATCTGAAAGCATGTGCTTGTATAGGTTCACTTAACTTATACAAACCAGATGTGATTTGGAATTTAAAAAAGATTTAGAATTTAGAAAAGTTGCCTATAATACTTCAGCAGAAGTTGGGGTTAGCACCTCATGATGAAACTGTTGAGATGAAACTGTTGAGATGAAACTGCATGAGAATGTATGAATTTTCACCCTCAAGTAGGATACCTGGGTATATGTCAGTTCTGGTTAGGTTATGAGATAACATGACATATTAAGATTTTGGATTTTTAGCTGGTGGCACAGGCCTTTAATTTCAGTACTTGGGAGGCAGAGGCAGGTGGCTTTCTGTGAGTTCAAGGCCAATTTGGTCTACAAAGTGAGTTCCAGGCCAGCTGGGGCTACAGGGAGATGCTGTCTCAAAAACAACAGCAATAAAAAATTTCTTTAAAGATTTTGGATTTTCTATTTTTTAAATCTTTTGATATTTAAAGCTTTGGGGGTTTAATAATTTCAGATAAGGATTGTATACTTTTATCAGGAAAGGTAAAGGAAATTCACCTATAGCGTGAAGACTTGGGGATAATATTTTATTGTCTAGCCCGCTCAACTTTATATTGTATATATGTTTGTATACATTCATAGAGGTTTGTGTAAATATACGTTTGGACACACCTGAATTTATACTTGATTCACTTTCTATCTTATGTAATATATCTTAGAATTTCCTAGCTATTTATTGCCTCAAGATCTAGGGTATGGCCAGTCACTCTTCAACTAGAACTAGATTTTCCATCCAGGCACTTTTTGGGTCTAGACCTCTGACTGCCTGTGCCAGGCCTTGTAAGATTAGCAGGAATCTGAAAGCAAATGAGTTTCTACTCTTAGGGGACCTAGGGTCTCTTGGAATAAATATCTTGTTCTTGCCCAGTGACTGAGTCTCCTGCTACATGGGCACAGAGTAGTCAAGAAGGGCTGAGAACTGCCCAGTATCCTCTTGCTAATCATCTGGGCCCTTCAGGAGCTTGAGAGCAGGGCCCTGGGGATGGGGTACAGGCCTTCCCTGTTGCTGACCCCCCCCCTCTTCCCTCCAGCAGGAGCACTGGTTTGAAAAGGCCCTACGGGACAAGAAAGGCTTCATCATCAAGCAGATGAAGGAGGACGGCGCCTGTCTATTCCGGGCTGTAGGTGAGTCTCTGCCTCAGCCCTCAGGGGCCTAAGGCTGCCTCTGAGCTGTGTTCCAGTTGTCAGTAGCAGCCCCTGAGATAGGGTTGACGCAGAGTTACCTGGTGTCCTAGGATATTCAGGTACTAGTCTTAAATTAGTGTTTGGCCTCTGGTCTTGGATTGTAAGGCAGTGTAGTGATGAAAGAATAATAACAGCAATGATAATGATAAAATGACATCACTTAGGGACAGATTGCTCTGCTGACACTACAGGAACCTCTTTTAATTCTCCCACAATCTAGGTGAGTGTGGGGATTTTTTTGCTTCAAAAAGTTGCTAAGAGGTGGGAAGTACCTTGCCTAGTGTCACACAGAAGGTATATAGTAGTCAGGATTTTCGAACTTTTTCTTGGTGTCTTTTTGAGACAGGGTTTCCCTGTAGTCCCAGTTGGCCTGGAACTCACTCACTGTCACTCTGGCACTCCAGGATATAAGAATTTGTAGAGCTACCTTTAGTGTGTTCAGGAATTACACACACACACACACACACACCCACCCACCCACCCAGGCCCTGTGTGTGTGAAACTAGATCTTTACAGATTTTCTATATTAGGTTTTTTCCTTCAGTTTGTACAAAAATGGAGAAAATAGTGAACCCTCTTTGTGCCCAATTATCTGGCTTCAAAATAGTATCAACACATGGATAGCCTTGCTTTATCACTACCTTGTGCACTCTTTCTTGCTCCTCTGAACCTGGGTTTTTGTGGGGTTTTTGTTTGTTTTGAGACAGGGTCTCCCTGTAGCCCTAGTTGACCTGGAACTCCCCATGTAGACCAGGCTAGCCTCAATCTTAGGGAGTTCTACCTGCCTCTGTCTCCTGAGTGCTGGGACTAAAGGTGTGTAATGCTACCCACACCCAGCTGAACCTGGGGTTTTTGTTTTGTTTTTTGTCTTTTTGAGACAGGGTCTCCCTGCTGCCCCAGTTGCCTGGAACTCACTATATAGACCAGACTGGCCTGGATCTCACTGAGGTTGTCTGCCTCTGGGATTAAAGGCGTGGGCTACCACACCCTGCTGAACCTGGGTATTTTTATAGTAAAACTCTGACACAGGACCATTTCATTCGTAAATACTTCTGTTTCTCTAACACACACACTTTCTCTCTTTTAAAAAATTTTTATTTTATTGTTTTTATGTGTATGGGTGTACTGCCTGCATGTATGTAAGTGCACCTGTGTAGTGCAAAATCCACAGAGCTCAGGAGAGGGTGTCAGAGTCCCCTGGAACTGGAGTTATGGTTGGTTGTACGAATGCCATGTGGGTGCTGGGAATTTGAACCTGGGTCTTCTGCAAGAGTAGCCAGTTCTCTTAACCACTAAGCTATCTCTCCAGTCCCTTTTTCACTGCTTTTGCCTCCCGAATGCTGGGATTAAAGGTGTGTGCCTCCACACCCAGCTCTCTTTAAAAAAAAAAAGTAATCAATGTGCCATTATGGCACATAACTAAATTAATAATTTTTTCCTTTTTTAGTTATTTTTGTTTAAGACAGATTCTTGCCTGGAACTTTCAGTAATCTTCAACCTCCAGAGTGGTGGGATTACAGGTATGTGCTGCCATGCCTGGCTCAGCATTTAATAATTTCATTTTGTTAACCGGGCATGGTGGTGCACTCCTTTAGTCCAACACTCGGGAGGCAGAGGCAGGTGACTCTCTGTGAGTTCCAGGCCAGCCTGGTCTACATAGCAAGTCCCAGGCCAGCTGGGCCTACAGGGAAACTGTCTCCAAAAAAGACCAAAAAAATTATTTCACTTTGTTGTAATGGCCCAGGATGGCCTGGAACTTGCTTCCTGAGAGCTGGAATTAGAGGTGTGAATTACCATGCCCAACTAAGAATTAGTCATTTCTTAATTCTGTATACTTTGCAGGCCTAAGCTAGATCTTTGAGACCTTTGTGGCTTTGAATCTGTGACCAAACAAGTAGTTGTGAAGTCACATAACACTGTGAAAAGAAATAGGAGTGGGACCTGCCTTCCCTCAGTAGCTCTGCTGTCTCCTAAGGAAAATTGCTCCCTGACATCTTTGATCTGGGAATCAGAAAATATTAGTTCTAAATCCCCATTTATAACTACTGTGTGGCTCTTGAACTGTTTCCCTGTCTGTGAAATAGTGTTCCCAAGGGTTCCTTGGGTTCTTTCTAGGTCTGTTCTTAGTCTCTGGGTGACCTCCATGCCTACTATAGGCTGGACTGGTTCGGGTACAACTTCTGGAGTAACACAGATTCTTGGTATGGCCTTGGCCAAGTAGCTCTTCTTTCTGGATCCTCTTTCATTGACTGAAGAAGGGCCCTAAAGGAACCTATTGTTGTAATGGTTTAATGAGGTTACTTTGGTAAATTCCTTTAATGCCTGATACGTAGTGGGTCCTCATGGAACAGTAGCACTTGTAAAGCTTGGATGTTCTCAGCTGTACCTCAGAGTCAGAAATATTTGTTGAATGGGTGGGGCAAATGGTCACTTCTTGCCCTTTCTACCAAGCAGAGGCTTGGATTTTACTGGTTTGGGTAAACCTACTCCTTTGAATTGAGAATATTCTCCTTAGGGTATTTCCTAGAGAAAGAACTAGATTTGAAGACATCTTAGCTAAAAAGAATACAAAGAATAAGTAGGTGGGGGAAACAAGATTGCTGTTAGATTTGGGCATCTATGCTTGAGGCAATATTGAGGCAATTTGGGGCTAGAGAGGACCTGGTATGAATAGTAACCTATAATAAGAGCAGTTTTGTATATGTGTGTCTGTCTAGCTATTCTCCTCATACATACCCCCATTGGGGCCTTCCAGTAAGGGGCCCAAGCTTACAGGAAGAGCTGACCACAGCAGGTTGAAGGCCTTTCCTTATCAGCACTATGGCTACGCATTTCCCCTGAGGCTTTTCTCTGTAAAACCTCAGAAGTCCTATGGCCTCTTCCCTGAAGTACCTGGCGCCTGGTCTCTAGGCCTCCTCTAGAGGTTTCCCTGGTGCAGAGTACACAATACATGTGCCTGGGAAGGGGACTTTGACCCCAGGCTTTCTCCTGTCCCCCTGTTTGCAGCCTAGCCTGTACAGTGACAAATGGCAATCACTTTAGGCTTACTGAAAAGTCCTGAAGGCTATAAGTTCCTACTATGCATTGACTAAAGGAGGGAGAGTTGGAATTGGGTGGGTTGCACACATAGATAATACTTTGTTTCCCTGACTCTACTGTGTGTCACATATTCAGTTGGGTGCTTTAGGCTCTCCTGAAAGTTTCAGATCATTATCCCATGAAACAGATGAGAGTAGATTGAAGCTCTGAATGTATAGCTCAGCAGTAGCCCACTTGCCTAGCATTCATGAGACCCTGGGTTTGCCAGGGAGGAAGGGAAAAGGAAATGACATGCTCGGCATTATTAATGATAGAGCTGGCATGGGAACTCATAGGTGTCCAAAGGATGATCCTAGGTGCCCTAGCTTCTTAGTTTGCTTGTTCTTTGACATCTCTTTCTTCTTCCAGCTAGAAGCATTTATTCTTCTACTGTTGAGTCCTGAGACAGGTGGTTTTTCTCTCCTATTTTGCCTCCGACATCTGCGTAATCCTTTTGAACTAGTATCCATTGCTTGTACTCACACCTCTACCACCGCCTGCTGGGGATTCATGAGCATCGTTGGACTCTTGGTTGGAGATGTGGATATCCTGTGGCCCACCCTGTCTCACTTCCTAGAAACAAGAGCCACCCTCCCTTCCCTTCATACAGCTTTGACTCAGCAGAAACCTTTGGTCCTGGCCATGGCGGTGGTGCTGGCCTTTTGGCAAAGTGGAAGTAATACATAAATGTCTGCATGGGCTTCAGGAGAGTAGCTAGGGCTGTGTGTTACAGCCTAGAAATGCTAGGCAGGCCCACTCCCCTGGCTCTTTTGGTCTTGGAACATGGATGATCAGCACCAGGACAGACGGATCTTAGATCTGTTTTTAAATTTTTTTGTTGTTTTTTCTTTAAATAAAATGTATTTAATTTTATGTGTATGTGTATTGCCTGCATCCATGTAAGTGCACCCATGCATGCAATGCCTGCAGAGGCCAGAAGAGGGTGTCATATTCCCTGGAACTGGAGTTATGGGTGATTGTTAGCTGTCATGTGGGTGCTAGAAACCAAACCCAGGTCCTCTGCAAGATCATCCAGTGCTCTTAACGGCTGAGCCATCCTTCTAGCCCTTATTATTTGTTTTGAGACAGGGTCTTTCTCTAGCCCAATCTGGCCTGGAATTCTCTTGGTAGATCAGACTGGCTGTGAACTCTGTGGTGATCCTCCTTTCTCAGTCTCTTGAATGCTGAGATTAGAGACATGTTGCCACCATACTGTGCTATTTAGAGTTTTTTAAAAAATCTTTTTGGTAGTCACAGCTTGCCTAGAACTCACTGTATAGACCAGGCTGCCTCCATTTCATAGAGATCCACCTGCCTCTGCCTCCCAAGTACTGGGATTAAAGGCATGTGCCATCACACACAACTTAGATTAGTTTTGACCCCCTTATGAATGGGGAAACTGACACCTCAAGAGAAAACCAGGATCTTGTCTTATCTAGGTTACACAACTGATATCATAACATCAATGTTTGAGGTTGAACTAAGTTGACACAGGAGATTTCCATGGGCCATTTGTTCTTTTTTTAATTAAAAAATATTTTTATTTTATGTGTATGAGATATTGCCTGCATATATTTTAAGTGCACCCATGTCATGCAGTGCCCATGGAGGAGGGTGGGCATATCAGAAGAGGGCATTGGCTACCTTGGAACTAGAGTTACAGATGATTGTTAGCCACCATGTGGGTGCTGGGAGCCTGACATGGCTTTTCTATAGGAGCAGCCAGTGCTCTTAACCACTAAAACATCTCTCCAGCCATTATGGGCCATTCCTTGTACCATTTCTTTGCTGTGGGAATCCTTGAGCAGAAAAGCAAATATCACTAAGGGGATTTTCCAGGAGTATGAAGCCTCCTGTCCACC